GTCTTTTAATCTAGTRTTCCAAATATTATTATGACACAGTTACTGATTATTTTTTTAAAATTGTACTCAAAAATATTCAAAAATCCTGGATAGTAGTAAAGAGAAATTAACAAAAGCAAATAAATGGCCATATACAAATACAGAGAAGTCTAGTAACACAGTTCATTCTGAAGTATTGTATTCTTTACTGATAGAAACTTGTTAAATCACATTCAGTCTTGGACTGTAAAACACAAATCCCATCTGGAAGCCATTTCTAAAAAGGAGCAGCAGAATCTCTGTTATTGTCATTGTTCAGAAAATAACTGCGCAGATATTGTCAATCCATCACTCATTAACCAAAATACTGTCTTTCTTTATTTTCTTTGAAGATTTTTKAGTAACTTTCTCTTTCCCAGACACCCATGCACACCCTTGCACACCTCTTCCCCTTGCACTGAGTCCCACTTGAAAAGTGGTCTTTTCTCTTTCTTAATTCCTAGGCCCACGAGAGTGTATTGTACAATATCCAAGCCTTAAAAATCCTCACTGCAAATAATCTGGCATTTTTTGAAGCACATAATTACTCAGAAAACAAGATCTAAGKAGGAGATCACAACACAAAAATCAGAGACCGGGGGAAAAAAATCGGTAATCCTTTTCTTTCTAAAGATTATGTTTTAAACGTTGTTTTCCATAAAACCTTGCTTAAAGAAATCAACAGATTGATCACGTCCTCTGCTTTGTTTTCCATTCTCACATACATCACCTCTTGAGCTGAACCCCTGCCTTTCCACAAAGTACCACTCCTCAATTTAAAAAAACCCAAACACACAAAAAACCACAGAACAACAATAAACACAATAATAAACAATAGATTACCAGAAATTAAGAGGCATAAAAATGTTTGTTAACAGCTCCTAAATTGCAGGTGTTGTTATCAACACCTAAACGGTGCATTTGTACTGATACAAAATGAAATAAAAGCAGCACAAATGGATTTGCTATTTCTCTTGTTAAACCCTTTACATCAAAACAGTAGGAGTATAGTTTTTGTGAATGCCAAACATACATAAATTTTGCAAGAAAGATAAGTTAATGAAGAATTAAAAGGAAATTGACATTTTTTTCTGCTTATTTTCAACTTGTCTGATAAATTGACCATGAAGCTGATCAGCTAAACTGCTAATTAACAGAAGGAGCAGCCGGTATGATTGACCTTTTTTATTTTATGTAAGTCTCTACAATTTTTTTACAGTGAGCATTACAGTTCTGCTTCAACAGTAATAATTTACACCCTCTTCTATAATAATGTGAAGAAAAATATACATGAAAAATTGCTTGCACATTCTGGCTGCAACTTTGAGATTGTAAAAAAAATTCCAAATGCCTTAGTCTCTAYGTTAACAAATTCTTCATATTCCCCATTTCTTTGTGCCAGTAACAAATGATCTCATCTTCTGTTACTGGCAAACATCTCACCTACTGTTTTATAAAATGTCTTTTACATTCAAAATATAAAAATAACAGAGCAAAAAGTCACTCATACATAAATGTACTACTACTAGTTTATAGAATTAGCTCAACATGGTGCAAATGCCATCTCTGGGTGGACCCAGTTCCTGAGCAAGCTGGTTTTGAGAACATGTTACAGCTTTATTGCCTGGAATTTTTTGCACACTGATTTTTGGGCACCAGGACAGTACTTTCATATTTCTTTAAGTGATTACTCTACTCAACACTTTAGCTTTCAGGAAAAATTTTCTTCCACAATATCCATTTATACTCTTGTGCTACCTAAGTGAGGGAGTGCCTAAGTAATTATTTCTTAGTGATAGCTGATGTAAGAAGGCAAGATTCCTCATCATCCAGCAAAATATGCCTCAATGTAACCAAAGGAATCACCCAAACCCAAATACCAATGCAGTAACTGCAGTAATGACCTGCTATTGCTGATATATGTCTGAAATCGTGCACAAAACTACAGAGAACAGACTACAAGCAAGAATAGAAATTGTTCATATCAATTATTTCCAAGACTACAACTCTCTGTCAAATGTTTCAAATTTAATATCAAATTCAAAAACTACTATGGAAAGAGGAAGAGGATAGGCATCAAAATACAGAGACCCCATGCTATAAATATTTCTTTTCTTTAGAATTGGAATTTGATTTTGTGAGGGCAGGCTGCAATATTATATGCTCAAATCCTGCAGAAAGCTACAGAATCATCAGCTGAAAATAAAAGTAATGGATTAAAAATTGGTTGATTTATTAAATTATAAGGTGACAACAATTGCCAAATGTGAAAAGCAAATGTAATCCTAGAATGTAGCAGCTGAGGACCTCCCAAAAGAGATGAAGACCATTAATGCCATTGTAATGGATCTTGGAGAAATTATCTTAGAAACAGTGTTAAATCTAGGAAAAAAAGCTCAGACCGAAACACAGGCAAATAAGGGATACCAAGATGGTAAAATAAATTAAGAACTTGCAGTCTGAATCTAGAGGAACTGAACTGGTTTAGCCAAGCAAAGTGATGTCTAAGAGAAAATATTATAACTCAGAAAATGGGTGTAAAGTCTGTGGAGGAAAAGTAGCTGTTGAAAATAGGGTAAAGGACCAACGTTTTTACAAAAAAATAATACACACAAACTAGTCATACAAACTGAGGTTATAAATTAAATAAGGTGGTTTCAAGTCTTCAGAGGAGTTAGAGCAGTCTTCCTAGGACTATTTTGAGTTGCTACAARCTCAACATTTGCCAGTCACACAAAGAAAAAACAGAAAACAACTGACTCTTGAGCATCCATAGGCATTGCTACTAATAACAGATCCCAGCATTTCCTGCACGATCTGTTCTGCTTTTTCATTTTTTTGACTTACCTGTCCCCACAGAAAGTTCCACTGGTAACTAAGCCTAAGTTAGTTACCAAAGCTCCTTTTATGGCCAGTGGAGATGCATAGCCTTTGAGGGCACAACATCCTATTTATCTTTGCCATTGAAATAGCTTTTCTTCTTACTGTTCAGTGGAACAGAGTGATCTCATTTAGGAATTCTATTTCTTACTCCACCGACTTCTTGCTTAAAATACTCAGCTCTGTGTGAAAACTCACTGTCTTCACTCCCTACCACCCAGGGATACTTTTATTCCCTTTCACATTTTGTTTCTTGCACCTTCTGCCCTCAAAATCAATTTTTAAAGAGTCATTACTTCAGTAAAATGAAGATATTTAATCCCTTCTGGAAATGCATTCATACATAGTATTCCATACAGAAAAAAAGTGCAATAGGTCTTTAACCAGGCTTTTAATTTAAAAATTCTCTTTCAGCTTCACCTAATGAAATTAGTAATTTTCTATCTTCTCTAACCTAAGCAAGTGAAACAAGAAAAGCCAATGCTATTCTTAAACAATTACTGTGCAGTCTACATGTACTCATACACAGTTACTGCTTGAAAGTTTCAGTAAGTAAAATGTATATCAATYATCTCCTTGAAGAAAAGCGTATTAATCCTATAGTATTATTATCTGAGATACACCCCGCATATATTCCATGCCCTTTCTTATTATTAGAGGTTTCTTACCCAGCTGAGTTCTTGGTTGACTGTACGATGTTGGAAGYGGGGTATTTCTGCTGGACTGTCCTTGAAAGGATTATATTCCTGTGCCTTCAGAAGGACACATGTACTGGAAGGCTGACCATAGCTTCCTAAAATCAGCGTACAGCAAGTAGCCATTCCTTCCYAGCTCAAATCTAAGTCCAATTTTTATCACCTGATAGGTATTTTGATGGACACCATGAACTGCAGGGGTAATTTACAAGTGGGAAGGGAAGTCAGGGAATATAGTTCTTGTTGGCTCAGTGGTAAGAGAGATGAGACAGTGCACAATGAGTTCAGTAGGAACTTCTTTATAAAAATGTATCCAGAATGATGGCTCATTCAACAATATACAGATTGATAATAGGATTGGGGGAACAGTATAAATTTCCCTTCTGTGTTTGGGGCTATTTGTGTAGGTACAGTGCTGTGTTGTCCTGTGTTTGTGAAAGGRCTTCATTCACTGGCACTGCCCATACCCATTTTATTTACTCCTTTTAAGAAACACTAATTACACAGTACACATTACATTTCCTTTAACAAAAAGCATTTCAAGCACGATCTGTCAGCTTCCACAAGAACTAAAAGTGGTCAGTCTTAACCGTTATTAATTAAAGATGTTTTCCTATAACCGCTGACAGCAAGGGAAAGATATAAGCGGTACTGGCTAAAACTCAAGCTAAAAACCACTCGGTGGTCTTCCTGTAACCTCTGAAGCAGGGTAACTCTCGTAACTGCATTATTTAACTCCACACCAGAAGCGTCCAGCCTGCTTTAGGAGCTCARATGTCGCTCCCTTTCTCGGGCGCTGGGGAATGCCGGCCGGGCCGCGTTGGCTGCGGCTGTCCCGGTAACGCGGGCCCGGCCCGTCCCCACGGCAACGCCGCCGGCCATGGCGGGACGCGGCGCGCCGGGCCCGGCCCGAGGTGAGGGTAAAACCTTCGGGCTCCGTGCGACCCTCGGGCTCCGCTGTGTCCCTGCTCCGGGCTCTCGGCTGCGGCTCCCCCCGCTCCCTCCCCAGCCCCTGATCCGCGCTCCCCACACGGCCGAGGCCGCCCCGGGCTGGTCGGGGGAGCTGATCCCCTCTCTTTCCGCCGTTCAGGGAAAGTGCCGGGGGGACGTGGGGGTCGTGTCTGTCCGTGTGTACAGGGGGGTTTTAACAATGGGATCCTTTTGTTACAGCCTCGACAGAGGCCTTCTGCTGTCGGCTGCCGGGAATTAAGATGAAATAATCAGTGTTTGAACCTGATTTCCCCATTTCTTTCAAATTTGTGGGTTGGTTTCATCAAGTCAGGCCTTGCCTTCAGGGATTTAAACGAGTTAAATGCATGCAGTCGTTCCTAGATAGGTTCATTTCAAATCATAGCAGCCACAGCGTATTTAACCATTTGAGAGCTTAGTTTGGTCATTCTGTGACAGGATCTCTTTGCCAAGGTGGGCTCCGGTGACACTGACCAASACCATGGGAGTGGCATTGGCGAGAGCGGCTCAGTGGACTGCTGCTGGCTCTGGAACTGGCAGACTTGAAATCACCCCTTTGAACGAAGCCCTTTTAAACCAAATTATTAAGTTTGCAGAGGACTTCARCGCCAAGCATCCTCAAGAAGCAGCATTTGTCTTCAGAGAGCCCCTTGAGTGGAAAACACAGTTGGACTCTTCAGTATTTAAAGAAGGTTATGAGGTCAAGTAAGTCTAAATTGCACTGTGTTTTCAAGTGCAGGCGAACTATGAAGCAAAGTTGTCCTCATTTAGCATAAAGAAAACCTTAGTACATTTGGGAGGCTGAAATCAGTGAAGCTTTTGTTCRTATATATTAAAAATTTTGAGCTAAAATTTAGAGTATAAAAACTTKCTCTTTGACAGTTTAAGACAATTCYGTCTTGTTTGTTTGCAGACCTGTTTAGCTACAATTTGCCCTGTCTATTCCTAAGGATTTTTACAGCACGTGTCTAACAGTGATTAACTGTGTAATTTCTTTCTGTGTTAGGAGTTGCTCCTGCTTGGTGGGTTGACCTTGGCTGGTTGCCAGATGTCCACTGTGCTGCTTCCCCTCCTACATGGGACAGGCGAGAAAAGTACAATGAAAGGTCCACAGGTTGAGAAAAGGACAGGGAGAGATCACTCACCAGTTAGCGTCATCAGCAAATCTGACTTGATTCACAGAAATTAATATAATTTACTGCCAATCAAAAGTCAGAGTAGGATAATGAGAAACAAAAACAAATCTTAAAACCTTCCACCTTCCACACCTACCTCTTCCCAAGCTCAACTTCACTTCTGATTTTCTCCACTTCCATACACCTGAGTGGCACAAGGGGGCAGGGAATGAGGGATGAGGTCAGTTCATTGCTTGTTTTCCTCTAACCTTTCTTGCTCCTCACACTGTTCTGCTCCAGCATGGGGTCCTTCCCACAGGACAATCCTTTACGAACTTCTTCAGTGTGAGTCCTTCCCAAAGACTGCAGGTCTTCATGACATCTCCAGTGTGGGTCCCTTCCAYGGGGTGCAGTCCTTCAGGAACAGGCTGCTCCACTGTGGGTGTCCCTCAGAGTCCCAAGTCCTGCCAGCAAACCTGCTCCAGTGTGTTCTCCTTTCTCCATAGGTCCTTCCAGGAGCCTGCTCCAGAGTGGGCTTCCCATGGAGTCACCTTTGGGCCTATCCACCTGCTGATGTGCTGTGAATAAACTGGTTTACCTTGGAAATTTTCTGAAACACAGTTTAAAGAAATTGTATATGCTTTATCATGCTTGAATAACATTCAAGGTTTTTCTCAATTGAAGTTCTTACTTTAAAAAGATACAATTTAATTTTTCTAGGGAAGCAGTTGTTCAGTCTGAAGCCAGAAGCAAAGATGGCCAACCATTGCTCATTCTCTCCGCATCAACTCTCAAAGTTCGCAGTTTTGATCAGCTGTCCCGTTTGCTACAAATTGCTGTGGAAAAACAGTTAAAGGAAGTACAGGCATGCCTTGAAGGTTTTCTTCTTTGTTTTTTCATCTCTCCTCTTTCTTGAGAARTATATGTCTTCTTCAGTTCATGTTCATTAAATGTTCAGGAAGATGGATATGCCTTCATTTAAAGTATGTGAGAAAGTGTTAATTAATGAAAGTGGCTATAAGTGCTGATGCAGAATGTAATTAAGTTTCTATTTCTTCTTTTATTTACACAGAAATCTAGAATAAAGTTAAAATAAAGCTGTTGAATCTCATATACAAATTCATGTATACTGAGTATACATATACCCAGCTAYTGCAACAGACAGTATGCTTAAGTTTTGGGAAAAAAAGAATGTTTTATTTCAGGCTAATAACAGTTTTCCCATGTATGTAGTTGATTACTCCTTTAAAATGTTACATATTTTAAAGGTAGTCAAAGAAAGAATAATATGCTTAAGCATTCTTACCCATGCAAGGTTCACTGTGAGCACTTCCAGATTCCTTCTCACAGTGGCTTTAAAATGAGTACTTCCATTGTGTCATCCTCAAGTCCTAGATTTTCAAATTGACAAGACTCTTGGTATGCTAAATTGGGTATCCTTCCCCTACCTGGAGGTAGAAGAAATCAGTGATTCTCTTTGGTAATATTAGTAGAAATTGCATCTGCATTAATAAAATATAAATGCTCATAGTAGATCAAGCTTCAGAGTAATCTCATCATGGGTCCTGTCACTGATCAACCATGAATATTAGGGAAAAATAATATGGAACTTTATCATGCAGAGCCATTCACAGATGCATGGGACTTCATTTGCAGGAGCAGAGCAAAATGGTTTTGTAAAATACATTGATATGCAGTTATGTCACTGTTTACCAAGAAGAACAGCTGGCATAGCTGAGGAAGTAATGGGACCATTGGGAATGCTGCTAGAAAAGCTTAAAGATGTTCTTTAACACTAAATCCTATTTCCAAAATGATCAATTTTCAGTGAGTTAAGCCCWTTGATTTCCTGTTTTGGAAATCAGCCAGGCATATTTTTGGGTAAGGGGACTGTTGATAAAGGGAACTATTTAATATTCACCCCTTGGCTGAATGAATCTTAATCTTGGCTTTGAAAAGCAATTAGTTTGTTAAGAAAAAGTTATTTTTGTTATTAATGTTTTCATATTCTTAAAAGTACATTTCAAATTACAGTAGAGGGATATGAAAGAATACATCATGCAGTAATGTTTGATGAATAGCTATGCAYACTATAAACTTTCTGTTGTAAGTTAATAGCCTCAAAATCATTGAGCAGTTGAAATAAAGGGTTTGTCTTACCTGATCATTTAAAACATAGTAGCACATYGCATGATTCTGTTTCATGTTTACAGCTAACAGAGATCCTATAGTGAAAATTCTTGGCCCTGAATATGGGACTGTGGAAGGAGAAGATACATCCATCTTGCATTTATTTGACAAAGTGAAAAAAGACTCTGGTCTTGAAACAGAATTGAAAATGAAAATCCTTCTTCTTCTTCATCAGCTGGATTTGCAACTGCTTAATAGTTCTTTGAAACAAATTTCACAGTAAGTGCATTTCAAATACAAGCTAAGCATCTCAGCCAGTGCATTTTTTTGTTTTAYTGTTAAATCAGATTGGTTTCAACCCACAACATGTGTTTTTGGTGTGACAGAGAAATTTATTGAAATACCTTTCACTATTCACTAAATTTATGCAACCCCATTTTTTTCTGAAATTTTTTTCTGTAGGTGTAGGTATGCAAGTGTGTGCCCACAAATGTGGGGTTTTTATTGCACATGTTTTGCATTTTGTTAACAAATTGAAGTCATTTGTACAAACAACAAAGTCACAATTAAATATTTTCTGGAACTGTTTATTTCTTCATGGAACTGTGTTAAGTAGTATATTGAGTCTATTTCATAGTTACAAGGACTGGCATTAGGTTGGAACTAAAATTTCACTAACCTATAGATAAAATTAAGAAGGTGGAAGATAACCCATTTTCATGTTTTTGTTGCTTCTATTAAGTCTCAATGTAAAAGAAAAGAAYTGTGTAATATTCTCTTAAATTCTCTAAGTACATACTTTCCAATGAATACATATCGGACCATTTTCTATTAATTGCAGAGATGTAAGGCTAAATCCAGCTGCTGTAAATAATGAAGTAAATCTTCTCAAGAAGTTCTCTGGGAAAGGAGAAGATACTGTACTGGAATCACTGGAGTACACATCAGGTACAAATCTGATCATATCTCACATTTATATAGACCTTCATTGAAGTACTTGATTTCTGTGTGAAATTTTCTGGCTTAATTTCAATAATACATTTGAAGTGTTTATTTCTGCCTTAAAGTTATAAAGTAAAATAAAAAGTATTTTCTGATATGCAATGGTGCTCCTCAGCCTTTAGGTACAGMAATAATCTCCCAGTTTTATAAATATATTCGATGGAAGTAGAGGAAGAGAAATTAATCTGTGATCATGAAAAGTGCTAAGCGGAGTTACAGTTTTTGGTTGGATAGGGCCATGGGTCACAGAGTTTTGATGCTTAATACTTAACAGTATGAATTCTTAGGAGTTGTTTTTGGAATTTGATTTGCATACGTGTAGTATTAATCATCAAGCATAACTATTAAAGTATTTTTAAACTGGATAAAAACACTAATGCTAATTGATTGCAGATTACATGTTCTCTAATGGATGCCGAGCTCCTCCCTGGAGACAAGTGCATGGAGAAATTTGTTATTTAGTCATCAAACCACATGACACTGATCCTTTGTCTATCACTTGCAGCACAGCAGGCGTGTTTTTAAATGGAGTAAGTAATAATAAAGGATACCATTGAGTAATGAATATTTTTATGTGCTAAAATCAAAACTCAGACATGTTTGGGGTAGTTGTATTGGGGCTGTAAGACTTGCAGTGCTAGTGTTTTGCTACAGAAGGGGAAGCTACAGTAATAAATGTATGCTTTTCTATGAGTTTTATGCTAGGAGTGTATTCTGCACTCTTTRGTTGCAGTGTTTGATTAGTCTTTAACAGCTCTTCACACTATTCCTATTTAAAGGTACTGTGGGACTCAATGCCTCTCTAGTGCCTCATTGCTCTTARTCTGAGGTGTGATATTATTATGTGGAGCTAGTAGAGCTTGCTTTGGTCTTTTTAGAAATGATAAGCAATTCCTTCTTCTTTCAGCAGAAGCTGAAATTACTTCTCTTTTTTCTCCTTGTTTTGATTTTGACTRCCTTTTTCCTCTCAGATGTGTTTTATTTAGTCCCCTACTTTGTTAAGTAGTGACCAGAGCTCTTACAGTCATTTTGAGGACAGACTGATTGTCAGACATAACTCTGCAAATTGATTTCCTCAGAGTTCAAAAATCCAGGGAAATTTTGACTTGGCACTTTTTTAATAGATGAAGCTCATAAAGTTCAGATCACGTTGTGTTCTGTGCCTTTTAGACATCTGCTGTACTGCACGGGAAGCTCATATTTACTTGATTGTTTGCCATAAGCCATAAATTCATTTCAGTGAAACTATACAGGGTACAATTAACTGATGGTTATTGCTTGCAAAATTCTGTGTAAGATCTTGATCATCTGTTGGGGTCCGTGAATATTATCCATGTGTCTTTATGAAGCGTTTTTGAAGTTTGATCAACTCTGCTGAGCATGAGGCTTTAATTCATTACAGTATGACCTTGATGCTGTTATGCACTGTTTTGTGATGCAAATTAAATTACCTGTGTAAGGCACAACCATTAACAATTTAAAATGTATTCTTTTTTTAAGGGTCAGATAAAGGGTAAAGATATTGACTATGAAAGAAAAAGTGAACTATATAAAGACATAGTCACGTTTTTAAGGGAGAGATCACCTAGATTTGTAGAAAATATGGCTAAACAGGTATGTATTTATTGATACTGAGTGTACTTCTTTGTGCAAATGTACATTGGTAAGAATTGCATTTTAAACCTGGCTGAACATTTCTGTTATTTATCAAAGATAAATCTATGATTAAATGAAGACTGAAAGTCTGGAGTGCTTTTTAAATTATCATTTGGTTCAGTTTCTAATRAAGATGTTTCTTCTGTAAATAGCAAATAGTACACTGTTCCATGTATTGTTCTATCATACTTTTTGGTGGGGTTTGATCCAACATGTGAGGTCAGCTTTTAATTTTACGTATAATGTTTTGCCTGTCTTCTGGTATTGTTCTTTATGGAKCAGTGGAAATGTTAAAGCAGGAAAATATGAAACCTGTATGGAAGAGGTCAGCTTTTTATGGCAATATTTTTCTGTATCAAAACCACTTAAATTTTTATTTTCATTCTTATTAACCCAAACATAAATAATTGCACAACTTTTTTTTTATGAGAACGGCCTGATTTAAGTATCAGAGCTGAAAGTTAAACATCTAGCTTWTACACTATGTCTTGTTTCAGACACTGTAAAATGCAAGTGTTTTGGCTTTTATTTAGAGCTGTATGCTAGCTAGAATCACACAGTGCCAATAAAATTTTAGTTGTTTCATTTTTTCTGATAAAACTATTTTTTATAGATTTCTAATGTTGTTTTAACAGATTAACTTGGTGGTAAAATTCATTACAGGCCAAAACCTGTCAAGCATTTTATTGTGGTTATTTATAAACAATTTTAATTATTGCAAGAAGGAAGTAATTAGCAGGGAAATTTTCTTGTCCTTTACTTCTGATTTTCTGGGATGTAGGGCTGATATTTATTTTTTTGAGATGGAGATATTTGACAGTTTTGAAAGAGCAGAGCATTCCATAAATACAGTGACTTATATTAACTTAGTAATGGAATTAGAGTTGTGAGTTGTTCTGTTTGAAAGAGTATTAAGTTCCAAATTTTTTCGTTTATCTCATGGACAAATACTTTTTAATATTATGCCTACATATTGGTTTACATTTCATAAATAGGACAACATAAATGTATTGAGAAATTGGTTTAATGTATTTACAGTGATTTGGCTTCATTTGATGCTCATGAAAGGTGAAATATGGTAATATTTTACTATTTTTTTCAGTTCTAATCCTAAATGTTAATATAGATTAATGTTACTACYGATAATAGAGATAGCATGCCTTTATTTACTAATTTTATACCCTTATAATTATATTGTAACTATTTAGGAAATAGTGTGCACTTATTAAWTAAGAGCAAATAAAAAGAATTTATCCTGTTTTCCTTTACCTTTCATATAAATCAAACATTTGGTGTTCCCTGGCTGTGTAAAGAAGTTTATGCAGAAGTGTATACATTATACCTTTTTAATGGTTTAGGAATTTATTATCATCTTGCCTTGCTGAAGAGCTGGTTTAGTAGATTCTGCTTTCTAAAACTAAGATTTAAACAAATTAATACTGTAGAGCTGCAGAGCTTTCGTACCTGAGGGAAAATCTCTGCTCTAAAACTATAAAATGCAGAGAAAAGCTGTATTTCCAAGTTTGCCTAAATGTAGTAAAATATGAGTGGAAATCGTTTTGATTTATTTTCTGAGGAGAGGAGAGCTTCAAAAAGTTCATTACATACACTTACATTGCAAAGCAAATTAACTTTTATAATATCTGCCTGGCCTTGTTTAAGCTAATATTCAGAATTGCTGTGTTGGCACATAGTGCTATAGCAAACATACTTTTTAAAGTATGTTTAACTGATCAAGCTACAGCACCAATTYGCCTGTGATTGATCTAGTTTATCATGTGCTAAATTGTCTTGTCTAGAGTACATTTTCAGAATGAGAGAATTAGCATGAGTTAGTTTGGAATTAGGCACTGGAGTTGGCAAGGCTTCAACAGCTGATCCTCATCAGGGACCAGTTGAAAACAGACTCTACTGTGACAGTTTCCTTAAAACTGCCTTGCATGAGACTCAGAAAGGAATGTCTTCACCTATCTGGTAGTGACAGCTGCAATAACAATAATAATAAGTAGTAACTATCATATATTGACTTTCCTGTAAAAATTGAATGTGTTCCAATAGAGAATAAGAGTTGACAAGAGTCCTTTCTGTTCTGTATGTTGTTGATCAGCCATGGTACTAGACACTGACAGCTGAAGAATTGGTAGGTGCCATTCAGCTCCATTCTTGTATGTGACTTGTTCAACAGTGTTTTGTCCTGAGAGACAGAAGATAAAAAAAWTAAATGGMATGTGTTTMTATTAATTCTAAACTATATMAAATTAAATTACTTGGAACTGAAGTCTAGCAGTTTATGATAGCCTATTTTCAGTTTTATGTTCATTACTTTTTTGTGGGAATTTTTTGTAAATCTGTTATACAGGGAAATAGCTTTTATGTAAATGATCCACTGAAAGCAGAATGGCTGACTTTACAATTCTAARTCATAAAACTCCTTTGGACCTAAGTTCTATAAAAGTGCATGTGTCACAGACTTTTGACAAATTAGAAATCAAACAAAACCAAATATTCAATAATGTCCAAGAAGTTCAAAATTTATGAACTTCATTTAGAAAACTTCAATTTGCACGATAACTGCTACTTTCCAARTTAATGTTTTGTTCTTTTAAAGACAGTATAATTTTGTTCTTAGACTCTAATTCTACATTTAATACATACCATTTTTAAGCAGAGTCGTAGTCTTATAAATCATTGTTTTAATATTTGTTATTATATAGCAATATGAGTGACAAACCATGTCTCCTTTTACTAGGAATATAGGTTTTTTAAAGAACCAGGACATGGGAAGAATTATCAGGATGCAGAAGGTGCTGATGCTGAAGTTTCTGGCCAATCCCAGAGCCTTCGTGATTTTACAGAAAAGGATGCATATGAGAAAAGTTCTTCAGTAGGGAGAAAATCCAGTAAGGAGAGGTTAAAACCACGTATTGACTGGAAAAATACTGGGCTTTCTGCTTCCCAAAGATAAGTAGTTATCTTTAAAACTGAATTTTCTGAATTCTGAATTCTGAACTGAATTTTAACAGTCATTGTTAAAGTCTACATGTAGTGAAATTGGCTGTAATCATAAATAATATTCTCTTTTTTCCTTGTGACTGTGATACAGTGACTAGCCCAGACTCAAAAAGACATTTTGCTTTYACAGCATTGTAATTTAGGGACAAAAAAGCACCAGAGATTGTGGCTAGCTAGGACTAGGATTTTTTCTGGAATACAAGAAAAATAGTAYATATTGTATTCAGCATGATCAAAGCTATGGAACATCTCAGTGTGCAGAAGAACTAAGCAGACCAAAACTGCCTGGAARTAAGATCACTAAAGGAGAAGAAGAAAGATACAGAAAATCATGTTTGGATAATGGTAAATACGGAACAGATGGTCCCTGTCTGTTCTAGGACAAAAATAAAGGTCATGAAATGAAAATGACCCCTTGAGATCAGTTCATAGCGAAAAGAGAGACTTCTACATACACCATATAGCTAAGCACTCAAATTCTTTGCCAGAAAATAGAAAATTCTTTCATTTAAGTAAATTCAAAAATCATCCAGAGACATTAATTGAACTATTCATCCATCCAAAACTGTTAATGCATGGGCAGTCAGGAGTTTCTGAATCACAGTATGCTGAACAATATTCYGGAAAAAATAATTTCTGTTGKTTTTTTTTTTTTTTTAAATAAACCCAAATCTGGTAGTGACAAGCCTTCAAAAAAAGACTCTGATGAAGAAGGGAAAAGTAGTACTGTACCTGGGACTACAAAAAGAAAAGCCAGTGACAAATCTAAAAGTGCTAAAACTCATCGAACTTCAAAATGGTATGGGTTACTTATTCTTCCTTCAATTTTTTTATTTTCCCAATCTACAGTGATTATCACTATATTTATAATTTGGTAATGTCAGTTGCATTTTTCTAGTTCTTTTATTAGGCAGTGTTGTCATACCTGTTTTGCTTGTCCATATAAGTTTATAACTGTTTGAAATTGGTTTTATTTTTAGTAAAACATCAAGCAGCCTTGAGGATGTTGGTGAAAGTTCCTCAGAGACTGATGAAGATGAGAAGCCTTTACGTCGTCAGGAATCAAGCACAGATATTTCACCAGAATACTGGGGAATTCAGAAACTTACAAAATATGTAAAAGTAAGTAAGCATTGTATACATAATTGTATACAATTTTATGCAGTGTAAAAAAGTTACGTTTGAGAGCACCCGACCAGTTCCTCATCCTTTCCGCTTTCCTTATTACTTTAGTAGTAATGTAGTATTTTCAGATTCTGGAATTGGGGACTTTCCTATCACGCACTTTCTTTTTAATCTGCTATTTTTGGCTTATATAGCCCTTTAGATTAAACCATCTGTTCAGTGTTATTTAAAACATAAGATGGCATAATCTCTTTATTAATTATTGGGTTTCTGTTTTGCTTTTTGTATGAAACTTTCCAAGATATTTCTTTATGTGGATAATAACTTTCAAGAGTTTTTATTAAAACTGAACTGTTGCCTAAAGTCTTTCATCAACTATGATTAATGCATGTCTGAAATAATTCTAACATGGTCTTGTGTCTGGATAGATGCTTTAGTGGACAAGAAAATGTACAATAAACAGGCATCTTCTAAAACAAACCAGAAGAAAGGTTTTTACACAGACTTGTTGAAAATCTTTTGGAACCTATAAATATAGATAGTTAGAATTCTGAATATGTCTGAAACAGATCAAAAACCCAACAACCCTTTACTATTCTGGAAAACTCTAATTATGTTTTTCCCTCAGGAAAAGTTCCTTTATAAGTTTGTACTGGAATTTATGTTCTGTTAAGTTGCTAATAAAAGCACTGGCTTAYTTAYTTTTTTGAATACAACTGCAGAGTATACACATCCAACTGATAAAATGATGGTGCTGGCTTTTGGTACAGCAGAAAGAGTAAGTCATATGAGGAGCAGCTGAGGAAGCTGAGCTTGTTTAGCCTGGAGAAAAGGAACTCAGGGGTGATCTTATCACTCKCTACAAYTTCTTGGAAGGAAGTTGTAGCCAGGTGGGGGTTGGCCTCTTTTCCCAGGCAGTCAGAGAYGGGATGAGAGGACATGGCCTCAAGCTGTTCTAGGGGAGATTCAGGCTGGACATCAGGAAGAATTTTTCACTGAAATAGTYRTTAAGCATTGGAATGGGCTGCTCAGGGAAGTAATGGAGTCACCATTTGAGGAAGTGTTCAAGAAATGACTGGATGTGGCACTTGGTACTGCAGTTTCATKGATGCGATGGTGCTCAAAGGTTGGACTCGATCTTGAAGATCTTTTTCAACCTTTATGTTTCTAAGGTACTACCATTAAATACTTGTAARGAATAAGCAAAGTTTTGGCTCTTCACAGTCCTTATTGTAGAAGAGTAACTCAGTCTTTTAAAATGTGTTCAGAGTACTCACACTKCTTTTTCTCAGTTCATGTCTGTGGGTCCTTGCTAGTGGACCTGGCAGAGAGACAGAGAKAAACATGGATAATACAAGCCTGTCTACATTTATCTGTTCCAGATTGGACCTCTATATTTTTGTCATTTTGGCTATGGTGAAATAACTCTTTGCAAATGTAACTTTGAGYGTGTAACTTGCTCAGCTATTCATAATGCTGAATACAATGTGTATACATTCTGCATTATAGAATTTTTCCTATTTGCATGTAATTACAGTTCAAGAGGTTGTTTTCGAACCTTTCAATTTGCTAATATCTTGCTTCTGTCTGTGTTATGAAGCAACTTTGTACTTTCCTGAGAGCTCAGAGAAACAACCATGTTACCTTTTAGTAAAGACCCAAGGTCGTCCTGTAGAGGATACTTGAAATTCATTACTGTTGATGAATTCTCATTAATCTTTTAATTGGCCCATTTATGTATCACACTCTTCACTGACAAGGCTCTTCTCTCCTGGTTACTTAATTCTCAAACTTCCTTTCCTCTCTAGATGCTTCATATAGTCATGTTTAAATTTTAGTGTTGAACTTAAATTGGTATTGAAATTTATATCTATATTTGCATAAAACCATTCTGAAAGAAAAGTGAGAATAACAAATAGGAAAGTAWATTTTTCACCTCTGTTTTAGAAATGAGTCTATTTTGTTCCAGCTGTCAACAAGCAAAATTGCATAATGTTTTAGAGCTAGGAAATGACAGGGCAGCATTTTTGATCAGATCATGAGTACCGATTAAGAAGTTTATAATAGAAAATTACAGAATACAAAAAAGTTTTGTGGTGAAAATTCAGATATATGCTTGTTTATGTATTCATGCACGCTTGAGTATTCCAATAGTTCTTTAAGTTAGATATAAATTAAACTAACTAGCTGAAGATATACTTAAAATAGTTCTGTGATCATCCTTAGCTACATAAAGCAACAACTCCCTAGTGTCAGATAAAGCTGAAAAGAGATGCCTCAGTGCCATACCACAGACAGTGGTTGAAATGTTTTATTGATGGAGTGCTACTYTAGCTTGCACATGGAATTCATTTTAATTCTAGTATAAATACTGCACTTCTGGCCAGACTTGGGAGATTTTTTGGCATTCTTGTTGTTCATGTAGGCAAGTGTTCATGACACATGCAGCAAAGAGAAAATAAATTTATGACTGTCTTATTTAAGTATCTACAAGCATATTTGTATAAAAGCACAAATTTCAAAGGGCTTGTGTTTGCACATCTGAAAAAATTAATAAAGTTCCTTAAATAATAGATGTTTGAGATACCAAGAAAATACAATAATTTGTAGATGCAATAATTTTTCAAATGGCTGCTAAAGTTAATGTGAATCACAATTCAGCAAGACTCTACAAGATCAGTTTGCAAACAAAAAACTTTCATAAAACCTGAAAGTTACCTAGTTTTTATATAGTGTTAGATTGTCATTAAATGTTAAAAAGACAGTTGTTATTTTTATAAAGCAAACTTGCAAGATCCTGCGAGTTGTGCCTGTAGGCTCAGTTCTTGTATTTCTCTTCATGGAAAGAGAATTTCAGTGCTGGGGAAATTCCCTTCTGACTTTTTGACCTTCTCCACTCCCCTTCCTTTCTGGGAAAGAGTATCCRTGTTGGAATTGTTCTGCTGGGAAGCAGCTGCTTCTGTGGTCTGGCTCTTAGTCCTACCTTCAAGYTTCCCAGGGCTGTGAAGCAGGAGAYGGAGCATGTGTGTTCCTGCCATGTCTCCTCATCGACTTAACAAGCAGCAAAGATAGGTCAGTGAGCTTGGTGATGGTCTTCTGTTAGGYATCTGTTGGAGCAGGGTAGGTAAAATTGGAATGAAGTGTGCTGCTGGTGTTTGTAACAGTGAGATTCACACAGCCTACTTTAGATTTGACATTATTTATTAAATGGGTGCTTCTGAAGAATTAGATTTCTGGAGGAAGGACTACATTTTGCATCTGAAAAATATTAGAATTAGGATGAAGGCGTCATCTTTTTCAATTATCCTTTTGCTATWRACAGGAAACCACAGGTAGAAATGGAGAATCTTCTTTGTGGCACAGCTGGGACTGTTAACTGGAAAAAMAAAAAAAAAAAAAAAAAAAAMGGGTGAGATCTGAGCTTTGTGCTGCCCACTGTTGAGCACTGACTGTTGCCTGTTTTATGATAAAACTGAGATGTTGAGAGGGGAATTGGGGCTGGTGACTGTGCCAGGACTAATGCCAATATCCAGAATAAGTMTTTAATCCCTTAAGCCTTTGTGCTGTTTGATTTTGGTTCCCGTAAGGGCATTATTATATGTACACCTATGCCAGTATGAGGATGAATAGAGTTCTGCAGGACCATGTCATTTACAGAGTTCATCCTTCAGTTTCTTACATGGAAAGTGATTCTACTCTTGGCTGTATTTCAGAAGTATGTAAGTGAAACCAGTCAAATCTCACACTTCATGTAAAATACCCATTAATTTCATATCTGTTTGGAATTACTCCAGTGCAAAAGASCTCATTCCCAGAACAGCATTATGTTTCTTCTCTGCTTTGGAATCATAGGTGGACAAATCTACTGTCTCTCCCCAGCTGTTTGTGTCCTGTGCCAGGCCCAGGAGCTGGAGAAAGGTTATGGCACTGCACAGGAGCCAGGGTGAGCTTGAACAGCAATTCCCACCAGATGCCCAGGTGCCTTGGTACTGCACAGCAGAGGATGACTGGGGAGGGACAATGTCTGTCACATGACTCAGTGAAATCTCATTCATTGGGCAAGGAAAAGGTACAAAATCTGCAGGATGTACTGGGTGTGTCCAGGTCTGCTCCACCGCTGAATTTTGGCAGGACCTTTGGAAAACTGGTGCATTCAAGCAACATTCCTGTATCTGGAAGCCCCTCTGTAGTGGACTTACATTATGTAAAAATGGCCAAGAGACCAAGGAGGCAGGAATGTGCAGGAATATTTCTTCTGGCCGTTGCCTCTTTCCTGTTCTTTCTCCATTCTTTCTTTCTGTCTTTCTCCTCTTGTTTTTCTCTCTCTTTCTTCTAACAGCATTGCAGTAATTGCTGGGTGGACAAGACCTCCCCATAAACTTCTGCTTCCTCTTTGCAGTGCAGGCAGACCTGAGCTGGAAGGATGTAGTGTGTTGCCATACAACAGGCAGTGTTTATTTTCTTAGGAAGCTCAAATTTATTGRTAAGAGAAATGTAATTGTGTATTGGTTGGAGGAAGGAGTAGCAGATCCCCACCTGATCTCTTTGTCCCTGGAGCATTCTTGAACAAGAAAGGTTAGAAATGCAGAAAGTCAAATAGACAGTGAAATGATACAGGGAGACTGCTAGGAGTTAAGATGCAGGATTTTTTCATAAACTCTATGGGAGAGTTTTATTTCCCAGGAAAAGACAGGGGGACATCTGGAAGTTTGGGTTAAGGGACTTGGGACAAATCCATGTATGCCTGAAGGGTAGGAATGTGGACAAGGAAGGTCTAGACTATTACAGTAACAGGGAACCTGTTTTGGAACATTTAGAACCAAATCTTTAATTGCAGTTGGATATGTTTGAGGAATTCTTTCGCACACCCTATGTAGTATTTACAATGTGACTTTTCTCTGCTTTGAGGGGAAGCAGAAAACACTTAAGAATTGCTTGCATGCTTCCTTTTTAGGCCGTAATATAAATTCAGTCACAGTTTATCTCTAAGATGGGAC